GCAATTTCAATGATCTCACATGCTTTCTCCAATAAGACAATAATAGCACCAAATGTAAGGAGCAAAAAGCTTTTTGTTCATTATCATGCAACTCTTTATTTCTCTTAATTTGCCTCGAACACAAACAACTAAACAACATTGTAAAACCTAATTGGGCGCAACTTTTGGGAAAAGGTGTATGCGAGTATAGAACATAAGACAAAGCATATGGAAGTATAGAAATAAGACAATGCATGTGGGGTATGTCCTTATGTGGCTTGACCCAATTGTCAAAAATAAGAAGTAAAATCAACTTCCATGCACTATGAGATCAAAACCTACAATTTCCGTGCACCAACGATTTGGAAAGAAATGAAACGATATTCAAATAGTGTTAGTGGTTTCTTCCATGTAAGCAATGGAGCATCAACTCAAGCTTATAATTAGGCATGTCTCTCTCTATGGAGTGGAAATGGTGCGTGGCTCCCGATGAGGTGTCCTGCGTCGGGAAAAGGAAAGAAAAGTAAAGTTGAAATGGACGGGGATAATCAGAGGGGGGGGTGGGGGCACGGTTGGGGGATGGTGAATGTAGGTGCTTTTCTCCGAGTAACGGAACAGGGCAGGAGGTGGAAGGATCTATGTTGCGACATGGGTGACTGTTATGTACGTAGCAGTTGAGCTTTTTGTTTGGTCTGACATGCATGTGTAGTTAAAAAACCAAAACAAAGAACATTTTTGTGCCAAGATTTTGGGAGCGGATGCGAAGTATACCGAGCTAGACGATGATGTCATCTAATTGTTACTTTACTACCAAATTAATTAAGAGGTAAAAAACTTTTCCTTCAAATCTCAAGCAATCCTTCTAGTTTCTTCCCCTTAATTTCAATACAAAATCCATTTTGAAATGGTAGATCTGGCTAGCTAGCACACGAGCATAGACAAGCATAGACAAGACAATGATGGATGGAATCATGGATCAGGCGGCAGCGTTGGTTGGCCTCGGGGCGTACTTGCGAAGCCAAATCCCACGTTGTCCGACGGAGATTTTGACAAGCCTCTCCCCATTGAGCACGAGCTTCACGATCGCCTCTGTCTTGAAGATGATCCGGCCATACATGGGCATGTGGCCTCCCTTGGTCTTCTCCATCAGCACCCTTACCACACAGTCACCCCACTTCCTGCACCCATGCACGCCAATCATCAGACATGCAATGCATGATCCAGATCCAATCATCATGCATCATGAATACAGATCTTAGTAGATCCATATGTATAAATAAACTTAATCTATATATCGAGTAGTGTAGAGTATGTGAGTGCACACTTACTTCTTGAAGTACTCAAAGATCTCCTCACGATGGAGGGCACTTCCCTTGGAGAAGGTGATGAACATGGAGCGGCAGTCCTCCGACACGGCCACTGGTTGGGAGGTGTAGGGCGCCATGAGCTCTGGCGGGCTGACCATCAGCCCAGTCTCGGACCTCCGGAGCAGGACGTGCAGGCGGTCATCAAATACGAACTTGCCGGGGCCATTGAGGAAGTGGGCGACGCCGCGGACGACGAGGTCCTGGTGGAAGGCGAAGAAGCCCGGCTCGATGCGGACACCGCCTTGCATGCAGAGCGCAGAGATGAGCGGGATGGGCGGGAGCGCGGGCACCTGGTGGCGGAGGCACTCGAGGACGGCGTTGGCCTCTTCCGCGACGACGGCGACGGCGTCGGGCGCCATGGCTGGGACGTGGTGTATGGCGGAGATGGTGCCCTGGTCCAGCCACACCAGCAGTGCCACCGCGTTCTGGGCTTTCTCCGGGCAGCCGCACACGGATAAGAACCGGTCGTATGCCTGCCGTGCGACGCTGTACATGTACAGCACGTCACGCACCGTCATCGCCGCCATGGTTGCTCTAGTTATTTGGTTGCTCTTGCACTGGCCGTCCGGAGAAGAGGCGATGGATGGCTGGAATGAGAAGAGAAGCTAGCGAGAGAGGAGCGAGGAAGGGGTGATGGGTCGATGGGGAATGGACCAATATTTGTATCTGCTCCTGATCCGGCGACGCGGCTGCGCTCCGGCTGGTGGAAGGTTTAATGAGGTGCATACCAAAAATTGGCTAGCGGGAAACATCTCTCTTTGAATCAGTTTAATGAGGTACACGTAGATGCTCTTCGTTCGTTGGCTGGTTTTCCATTCTTTTTTTGGTTTTTAGTTCGTTTTACATCCTAAAACGTATACATATGTCGTTGCTTAACAACATTGGATGCAGCGCAGCACTTGTATATCCTTCTAAATTTGCACTACCTTTTTCGTGGTACTGGTTAATTTTATACTCTGCAGAGTTCACATGTTATACTTTTCTTTTCGATTTCACTTACATATATAGAGGACAGGACATTGTGATTCCTTAATCTCTACATAAACTTTGTTGTCGCTCAAGCTACCTGCTTCGCCCATCATCGATGGTGCAAGCGTGAAGCCAGGACACCACCGTGCCACCATTAGATTGTGACCTAACTACACTGGCAGAGCTTTGGCAGGGCCATCCTGGGCCACTGCCTCCTAGCCCAAGAATTTTCTTCTTCTGAATACCCCTTGTTAAATGGGCTAAATCTTTACGAAAACCTGTCCAATACTTGTTTTGCTTGCCCTCCTAGTCCATTTACCCATCAGGATTATGACCTAAGCTCCTCTACTGGGGAGCTAAGCCCGTCTGGGTTTGGTTCCGCGGGACCTCCTATAGAACTCAAACTAGGCTAGCGCAGCACCGAAACAGTGAAAATTCTCAAATTTTTGTGCATGTGATGGGGATCGAACATGGGACATCCCGCTCACACGTGCACGAACCTAGCAACTAGATCCGGCGAGCTTTCATGACTAACGAGTACTTCCTCCGTCCTTGAAAAAGTGTACTTCCAACTTTATTGAAAAGTCAACTTTTTTATATTTGGTCGTATTTATACAACAATACAACCATTTATGCCATCAAATTAGTAGCATAGATTCATGATAAAATATATTTCCGTAGTATACCTTTTTGGTTTCACAAACATTGATATATTTTTGGACAAACTCGGTCAAACTTTGAGATAGTATGACCCTTCAACAAAGTTGAAAGTACACTCTATGAAGGACTGAGGGAGGAGTGCGGAATGATAAGAACTATAAACAGGGACAAATGCTTGATAAACAATTTTCAAATATGAAATTAACATTATTTTAATACATGGCCATCATTTGTTCTATACACATTTAACATTTCTCAAATACTTGTTTAACAAAAAAATTCAAATGCATGACTAACATTTTCTGTATACGTTTTTCACAGACGTTGTATATTTTTTGTATACATTTTCCATATACAAGAGAAACATTTTCTTTATACAGATTTAACATTTTTTAAATGCTTGCTTAACATTTTTAATACACGGTCACATTTTTTCTACACATTTAAAATAAAATAAAATGCTAGATTAACATTTTTTAAATACAAGATTAACATCTTTTAAATACATGGTCAACATTTTTTCTATACACATTTTAACATTTTCAAATGGTTTATTAAAAAAATTCAAATACAGGTTCGACATTTTTTTAATACATGGTCAACATTTTTCCTATACATATTTTAAAAAATTCAAGTGTTTGATTAAATTTTTTCAAATGCTTTTTAAAAATTTAAAGTACCGTATCAACTTTTTAAAATTCAAGTGGCCTCCCGCGTGCTTTGACCATCCCATTTTTGGAGGATCCTGACGCGAGAGCATGCCAGGTCTCGCTATAAGCGAGATATAGTGCTGCCTCCGATTAGATTGCGACCTAGCTACAATGGCAGAGTTTTGGCAAGACCATCCTGGGCCAATGCCTCCTAGCCCAAGATATTTTTGTCTTCTGAATATCGTTGTTAAATGGGTTAAATCTTTAAGAAAACCAGTTTTAAACTTGTTTTGCTTGCCCTTCCAGTCCATTGACGCACCAGTATTATTGCCCAAACTCCGCTACTGGCGAGCTAAGCTTGCTGCTTGAATGGGTGTCCATTGCCCGTTCAACCACCATGGTGTAAAACAACAAGGCTTAACAAAGGAAACAACCTAGACTCCTAGAGTATCATCCTATGGATTGGTTTGGTTCATGTCCTTGTGTGCATTAGTAAGTAATACGGGCATTGCATGTGAAAACTTAGATAATCAAAGTATGGCCAAATGCTGACATATTTTTTTGTAATAGGTGTATAATTTTTTAGGCACATGGATGAGCCATGAGATGTATATTTAGTTCTTTTAGCACATTCCATAAAAATATCATATTATAGGTGCAAAAGACTTGAAAATGTCATGGTATATACTCTCCTTGTTTTTATTTACTCCGCATATTAGCTTTGGTCAAAGTCAAGTTTTGTAAACTTTGACAAAGCTTATAGACAAAAATATTATTAACATGTACAATAACAAATCATTACCATTGGATTCATTATTGAATATACTTTCACATCATATAGATTTTGTATGGTAAATATTTATATTCTTCTCTATAAACTTGGTCAAACTTTACGAAGTTTGACTTTAGTCAACTCTAGCATGCGGAGTAAATAAAAAGGAGGGAGTACTAAAAAACTCGGGTAAAATATATCTAGCACATTTTTCTCTAGGAAGTGTCTCTTTTAGGTACTTGGTATTAAACTTAATACAAAAAACATGAACACCTAATGTTACATCGCACAGATAAATAAGATTTATGATGTATGTCTATAGCCTTGAATACAAAGAAATATAATCACAAAAGGAGAAAATCAATGACAGTTCTGATGTCTTGTTGTTTTTTCTCATGTTTAATTAAGGGACAAATGCATTTTTGCCCCTGGTGGGAACCTACCCACGGGTTTTGCCCTTACTTTTCGTCTCTGCTCAGTTTTGCCCTTAGATTTTCCTCCGAGGTCGCCCGAATGCTCTTTGACCATTTGACCAATACTTTGAAAATTCATAACAAATTGATATGAACTCAGAAAAATGCAAATAAGATATCAAAATGTTCAGATAAACATTAGTTTTATGTGTATGTCATTTGCATTCAGGAAAAAAGTATTGTTTAAACTACCTAAGTTTATTAATGTTTTTAACATTATTAATAATAAAAGGTATAAATAATACTTTTTTCAGGAATAAAAATTACACGCAAATGCAGGTGACGTTTTCTAGACATCCTGATATATTATTTGCATTTTTCTGAGTTCATATCAACTTGTTATGAAGTTTCAAAATAATGGTCAAAGTCGTTCGAACATTCATAAAAAAATGATATGAACTTAGAAAAATGCAAAAAAGATATCAAGATGTTCAGAAAACATCACCTACATTTGCATGTAATTTTTATTATTGAAAAAAGTATTTTTATACCCTTTTATTTTTAATAATGTTAATAGCATTAATAACCTCGGGTAGTTTAAATAATACTTTTGTCCTTAATGCAAATGATATGCACATAAAGGTAATGTTTGTGTGAACATTTTGATATCTTATTTGCATTTTTCCGAATTCATATGAATTTGTTATGAATTTTCAAAGTATTGGTCAAATGGTCAAAGGGCATTTGGGTGACCTCGGGGGCAAATGTAAGGGAAAAACTGAGCAGAGTCAAAAAGTAAGGGCAAAACCCATGTGTAGGTTCCAACTAGAGGCAAAAATGCAATTGTCCCTTTAATGAACTACACTCTTCAAGTTCTGTGAGTTACTTCGCTACACCTAATGTTTTAGATGGAAAGAAAAAATAGTTTATGATAGTGAGACCACGTTCTTTCTTAAATAGCAGAGTTATTTGTACCGGTACCCTGTATGTTTATGTGGCATACTAAATTTGGTAGAAGATATACAATACAATAGACACAGCAAGGAAAAGAACTCCATATATATCAACAAAGGATAGAAATGATGCGGCAACACGTGCCTTTGCTTGTAGTATTAGTCTGGTATACCAGGGTGTCGATATGTCAAGATGTGAACAACGATGGTGTTAGAGCCAAAGTGTTAATAATGTATTGTCAAACTGGTGCGAGTGGTTAGGACATTTCACACCATTTGTCACTTCTCACTGTCGGTGGGAAACGGCATCTATGGGGTCACTGGGATCCCTTCTACGGTTAGCGGGCGCGGGGTTGTGCAAAGAGCGGGTCTGGCAGTCAGCACACAAATCGTTTACCCAGGTTCGGGCAGCTTAGACGCGTAAAACCATAGTCCTACTTTGATGTATATTTGAGTGTTCTTGTGTCCTTGAACTAGCTGCGATGTCTCTCTAGTCCAAAAGATTCGAATCCCCCTCCAGTACGCCTCGGGCCTCCTTTTATAGACAAAAGGGGTCGCCACAGTGGCACACATAAGGTGGAAAGGTGTACAGTGGCTGAGTCTATCCTCGGGCATCGTCGGACAAACACATTTAATGCGCTGCCGACGTGCCCCTCTTACTTTATTGGGGACGGAAAAGAAGCTCATCCCAGCTGTCGCCGCCTCGCCTGGCTCCGACGCGCGTCTGAGCTAACGAGGCATTGTAGCGCCACATTGGCTGGCTCCTGGGCTGGCGTGATGGCGGAGCTTTCATGAAGATTTGCATGCCACCACGCAGGTGCTTGCTGAGTCGGTGTGAAGGCCGCACGCTGCCACGCAGACGCCTGCCCAACTGGTTGAGCTAGCAGCTGCATGGGAGCGGCGATGGAGTCTTGGCAGACGCGGGCCTGGCTTTGGCCCTGCAGACGTCCTCGGCAAGGGTCTTGCCGAGGGGCCGGCAAGGGTCTCGCTGCGGCACCACGGTCGTCCCCGGCAAGGATCTTGCCGGGGGCCTTATGGATTTCCTTGGCAAGGATCTCGCCAAGGATCGTCGTCTTCTGGTTCTCATCTGATCTTGTCTATTTATGATCT